GGTGCAAAAGTTTGATTTTGATAAGCGATAGTTGTTTGGTCCATAAAATGTTCAGTGTTTCCCAAAGCCAAAGGTGACGTCCTCAAATGTCTTGTTTTGTCATCCCAAAGATATTCCATTTACTGCCACTGAGGCCAGAAAATATTCACTATTGACAAGCTGAAATCAGAGAATTTTGAAATCTTGAATCTTTCTGAAAAAAATTACTCAATACAACTAATTGATTATTAAACTAGCTGCTGATAACTAATCGATTAATCGATTAATCATTGTAGCTCTAGTCTATGATCAAATTCTTCTGTTAGGCCTACATTGATACATTTAAACCCTGGGTACACATATTTTTAGGCTGATATCTTCATGGAGTGAATAAACTGTAATCCTCATAGCAGGAATCACAATAGGAATGTCGCAGCATACTGACACACGCTGGGGTACACTTGTACCTCACTGCAGCAAGGTGAGAAATTAAACCACTGTATGTCAGCAAAAACAAGATTTTCAGCTGCTGTTAAATTTCTCTGTAATGTTGCCTAAACAGGAATTTTGCCTTAATAAAATACAGTCTAAAAGGACCACATCAAAGAATAAGTATAGATGAGTATGAATTTGAGCACGCATTTGATGTGTTGTGTGACAGTTGACAGTAGTTGATGAGCACTGGGTAATGCCTAGCCTCATGTATGAGGTATGACTTAAATGCAGATATCTCAATGAAGAACTACAGTAATTAATCTCAGTAACTTTCACTCTATCTTAATTCAACCAAATCTCCATTCAGACCAAATGAGGAAATAACCTTTGCCTGACTGTTGCCATATAGACACAGGCTGCTTGGTAGAGCTTTAAACAGAGAGCAATTTGTGTCACCTTCCCTCCCATATAGACTGTGTTGTGCTGTGGGCTAAGGTCAGCGGCATGAGTAGGAGGGGACGAGATCTGTCTGAGGGACCAGATAATGGACTACTGGGTTATTGATGAGTTAGATAAACAGAGAGTGTGAAAGAAAGAGAGAAAGAGGTCATAGATAGGAGAAACAACCTAGGGAGGAATGAAGAAGAAGAAAAAAAAAGATACGAGGAAACCAACCGCCAAACAAACTAGTGTCACATTGAGATTTTGGAGAAGATGCACCAACCTGGAGACATTGATACTTGAGACAGGAAGGACGGAGGGGGATGCTCAGACATATAAACACAGAGGCGTACGTCACCCATGCTTCTTCATAGAGGCTCAGTGAATGTTTATGACCAAGCTTGCGTGTATGAATTTGAGTTTTATGTGTCTGTAAAACAACAATTGCTGCTATGAGTGCTCAAAGGACAGGTCAGTGGTATGTGTGAGCTCGAGTAAACCACACAACATGCAAAAGGTTGTGTGTTTGTGTGTGTAGCTGTGTTTCAGGTTAGAAATTAGAACAAGAAGCAGTTGTTGTTTTGGAAGGGCAGTGAGGTGTGTGTGTAGTGTGTGTATGTGTGTGTGTGTGCGTGCGTGTGTGTGTGCGTGCGTGTGTGTAGGTGTGTGCGTGTGTGTGTGCGCGTGCGTGTAAAACCCCACACACAGCCAGAAGAGTAATGGACAGATATCCTTACATTCATCCCTCCATTTCTCTCCCTTCGAGCCTAACATCTCCCTTGGCAGCAGGCTGCCCTCTTACAACACACCTGGGAGCTCATCCAACACACACACACACACACACGCACACACACACAGGGGCTGTGCAGAAGGTTCTACTGCAATACTGCATCTCAGCCTCATGCACATCTACTGTTTGGTTGTGTTGTCGTCTGCTTTTGCTGCACTTCCTATTCGTTTAGATTTGTCAGTATTCTGTATGTTTCTTTCCACGTGTGTGTTTTCTGATGATCATTTGAAGATGTGTGTGTGGACTCATCCGTTGTTGTTGTCTGACGTCTAGCTAACAGCTAACCCTGCAGCACAGCCACCGGTGCCATCGCTCTGTGTGCCCATTAGTCCCTGTTGTTTCTTCTCCTCACAATAAGACTTGAAATCCAGCCGGCACGCTGCCAGCGCCGAAGCCTCTGCTTTGTGTCCACGCTTTTTGTTGAGGTGCTGTGTAACTCTGCCTCTCGCTGTCATTCGCTCCTTAACTTGCTCCCATCTCTCTCTTTCTCTCTTTCCCC